AATGTATCAATTAATCGATAATTTATCAAAGTTAATTAAACATTCGACGTGTGAAACACACTCGTCCTGTTTTTAAATTGAATTGCGCACGTGATTTTCTTTTACAATCATATCAAAGAAAGAACTGATTGCGATAAATATAACATTCGTTTTTTCAACATTTATCAGATTTCGATACATGTCAATCCATATCACTTAGATTTAAATAACTTCTTATCAATGATTTGCCGTGGGGTATGAATTTCAAGTGGTGATAGGAGAAGAAATTTCGCTCGTTCTTTATAAGTGTAATGTGCAATCAAGATAAACAATTGGACACTACGAGTGCAATGTATGTAGCCAGTATTAATAACTTTTATAGACTCCAGCGTATTTTATGTTTCTTTTATCATTCATTGTGTAAATTCTTAATAACCAGATGGCGGCAAAAAGTTAGTGCCTGTAGATTTTAAAATTAGCAGGCATCGTAATAATAGAATTGACAAAATGATATTGTGGAAAAAGTTCTTATGAACTTTTATTATCAGGTAATATATATATGTATGAATTTCCACTATGATAGTATGTCTATATCATAATTTGTTTTGATTTGATATCTTTGATTCATATCAATACATCTATAGAGCACAATTATATGCATAGTATAAATAAAAGACGAATTACGGTATGCAAATCTTGAATGTCGCGTGACGAGTGAGAAGAAAAAAGCTTTTGTCACTTCTTTTACAATATGTACAAGATAATTGCAATACAAATGGAACATACGTACATCTGTCATGTCAATATTAACTGTAAATCACGCGTATTTATGACTAAAAAATAAACAACATATGGATCAAATTTGCACAAGCTTTTTTTTATATTTCGACGAAAGACGAAATCGCGTATTTTTGGATATCTCGTGTCTTACTAGTCCTGAAAATACTAGAGCAACAACTCCATCGAATTCTAATTTATAGAAAAAGATATCTCAGACGAGCGAAACAGGAGTATTGACCTGTTTCAAACATTGAAAAATTCAAGTCATCGTCAACTATTGAAGTTAATAAAATTACGAGCGCGTCTTGCATTCACTAAACAGAAGAGAAAACATTAACAGCGTACAGTTATCCCACTTTTGGGGGAGCGGCTTATCAACGTAGAATGAAGTTAAAAATAGACAGCTGATTTGTCATAGTCATAATACACACGATGTCTGACCTCAGTACCTACGATATTATACATCGATGCGTGTAAGATATCTAAAGCTGGATAATCTCCAGATATTGGGAAGCAATATAGAAGTTGTACTTGCGTATCGTCCATTGCCACGGCAATGATATCATTTAAAATCTATAATTTGCTAAAATGAATCATCTGTCTTTTATAGTAAATAGAATTATAGAAGAAAGTCGTATTGGTAGAATATAGAAATTATCTTATTGATAAAATAGCATTCTATTGAATTCTACGAAAGTTAATCAACTTCCTGTGTATATAAATAAATTCAGGTAGAGCTATATCATATCTTTCGTATCACGTAAAACAGAAGAGGTATTAAGATATTATGATTAATTACTTGAAGAAACATGAAAAGTGCAGGGGACTGATTAACAGATTGAATCATTTCTTTCTTAAGAACAATAACATCTAATAATAGTTACGTATCTCGAAATTATATTGATATCAGGTGAATGTTGTATAATACGATATAAATTTCTTCAGAAATAAATTTCCGAAAATCGTTCCTTCTTTTTGCGTCTCGTTGATTGACATGAAAATGTAACAATATGCACTATACTTTACATGTATATTATTATATCATGCTTTAGCGTTAATGACAATTAATTCCTTCTCTATCAGTGACGTATAAATTTATAGACGTGCTACTTTTCCACTATGATGCATACATGTATGCATATCTAAAAAAAATATATATCCCCATTTCATTTTGCTCGAACACGAGAAATTAGTGTTTTTCCGATTCCTCTTTATGATATCGTTATCTATGAAAATTTAATAATAGTTGATGCTGATTAGGTAGCACTTAG